ATATGCAATTGACAAAGGTACTTTTCTTTTCCCCCTAATCTCACTTCGGAGGTAAAAAAGCATTGTTATACATTTCAGTGTCAAAATGTAGTTGTTGAAACCTGATATTTTCTGCTCAGAGGAAAAAGACTATGGATTGTCCAAGAACTTAAAAATCACATTTTAATGAAAATTCATTTGAAAAAAAAAATCAATACCATTAAAGGTAATGACTGAGCATACACCACTTTCCTGTGGGTTCTTTCATTCAGGGCTAGTTTCCTCTTGTTTTCCAGGGAAGGTGCAGGGAGCATTGCTTTCCCTTTGTGGGACTGGACTGAGGCATCTACAACTTGATCCTCCGTGAATGCATTCCCCATTTTACATGTAGCTGAATGCTAAAAACAGATGGCAGAGCAGGAAACAGAGGGGTGACCCTGTTGAGCCATTCACTGAAGTCGGAGTCTCTGAGAACTTACTGGGCACAGTGCGCAACTCGGGATGTCAGGACTTAGTCTGATGTGCCTATCTCCCCAACCACCAGGGGCAGGCATGGAAAGAGCGCACCCCCTTGGTGGAAGCATGGAAGCCACTCTTTTTACTGCTGTTCTTGTTCAGTGATTTTATGTTTAGAATCTCATATTTTACTACCAGGCAAATTTAAACTTTCTGTCCCTTAAAATGTGTCCCTATTGGGAAAGTGAGCTTGGATTGGGTGGCTGGGGTGAAGCGTCCCAGAGATTCAGGGTACAGAGATGAGGCTGGCAGAGCCACCTGGCTCCAGCTCATCTCAGATCAGGCAATTAGCCCCACATTATTTGAGTATCCAATTTACTTTTACATTTCAAAGTTGTAAAATACAAAATGATTTTTTTTCACTTCCTAATTATGAGTAATAAAAATTTAAGAGAATATAAAGTTTAACTTGTCTGTTAATTGAGGGGAAAGAGCCATGCTAAATCAGTCAAGAACAGAATGGTCACCGAAGAAACGTAGGGGATACTGCCCGTGAGAATCCAGTTTGCTATTTTAATTAGCATCTGTCAATTAGAAGCAAATGACAGGGGGTAGGAATCCCGGTTAATGAAATCATCATCTCAAATTGAAAGGGAAGGTCAAAAAAGTACACGATGTCTCATTTGACATCATTTTGATCTTCTTATACACCTAAAATTCTGGAATCCTCTTTTAGACCTCATGAGACCAGGCTGTTAATCTGACCACTCAATTAACTCTGGGTATAATTAACTGCCTGCACAGTCCTGCCTAACCAAAGCTCCCCGTCAGCAAGATTAGTGCATGTGGCTCCAGGGCAGGGGGCGGGGGTGCAGGGAGAAAGAGGTTTGACATGGTTTCCTCTCTGTGTACTGAAGGAAGCGGATGAGGGAGGACCATACCATTCACTCCCTGCATCTGTAAAACCAGGATCTTCCTCTAGGGTTTGTACAGAGCGTGCAGGGGACCTGTGAGAATATTAGCTGGTGTTTGAACAAATTTCACAGTGCAATAGGCCAATTCCAGCAGTTAGTTTGGCAGCTAAATTAGGCTAAATCATAAGAGGAAGGAGTCTAAATCTTAGTGATACTCAATCACTGAGGAAGAGCCAATGACTCCTGCTGTGATGTCTGTCCACGTCCTGACAAACATGGCACAGCAGCCAATGAGAACTCTACAAGGCTCCAGCAAATGATGTTGGCAAGTCACGCCTTCCAAAGCTCCCCTTTCTCCAAGCTTGGCACAGAGAAAAATCTTAATTTCTGGACAAAGTTTAATTCCACACCTCAAAACTTTTGCCACTGGAGTAATACTCTTGTAGAAGGAATTGATGATTTTTTAAAAAAAGTTATTTATTGAAAGGCAGAGTTACAGAGAGAGTGGAGAGGGAGAGAGAAAGAGAGAGGCCTTTTATCTGCTGATTCACTCCCCAAATGGCCGCAACAGCCAGAGCTGGGCCAATCTGGAGCCATGAGCCAGGAGCTTCATCCAGGTCTCTCACATGGGTACAGGGGCAAAAAGCACTTGGGCCATTCTCCACTTCTTTCCCAGGTGCATCAGCAGGAAGCTGGATCAGAAGTGGAGCAGCCAGGACTCATATGGGTTGCCCATCTCGCAGGTGGCAGCCAAACCTGCTGTGCCACAATGTTGGCCCTAATTGATGATCTTAATGAGAGGATTTTATGAAGGTGACTTTGAACGAGGGGATGCATCTAGTATAAACAACATTAAAACAGGCACTTTTTGGAAATATTCAGATGAATAATGGATATTTTAAGAAAAGAGGTAAAAATACTTGGAAAATGTTAATCGAACCATGAATGCATGAGTGATTAACTTTGTTGACTTTACTACCGTGGTTATTTACATAAGCAGCGAAGGCCTATGAGTTGCTGATCCAGTAACAATTTAGGATACTTGAAAACATCCTAAATCAACAGGGGTTTGGCAGTCATCTTACTGGAAAGAAACATGAAGACACACAAAGCAAGTAAGAAGTTTCTTTATTGAAACAACTTGTTCTTGAATAGAGCAAGAAAGGGAAAAAGGGAAAGTGGGAGAGAGCAAGACATTGGGTGTGGGAGGTAGGGAGAGGGAGAGAATGAGCAATTAAACAAAATCTATTTGCAAGTGTGGAGTGAAAATACGACTTAAGAGGTAACTGAGAGAAATTTATGTCACTGACGCAAATACCCCAAACTCCACCTTGGGATTGACTAAGGAGGGTGGCGCCTAGGTCTAGATGTGAAAGTGTGAAAACCTAACCAAGAAATTTTTTCTTCTAAAAGTTTCCACAGAGGCCCAGCAAAATCCATTTGACCAATTGAAAACCAGTGGCAGAATTCAAGTGTCCTGAGGCGTGTGTTGTGGTGTGAAGGCAAAGCTCTGAAGCAAGATTGCTGTGGCCCCCAACTGCTTTCAAGTCTGTGGGCAACATGACTTCTAGGGCATCGGGGTACTTGGCTGTGAAACACAGGTGATCCTAATAGTACCTCCCCGTGATAATCCTGTGTGTTACACACGTGGAAAACAGCATGGTGCCTAGCATGTCCGAAATTCTCCTTAAATGTTAGCTTTTACTATTATTTCCATCTGGGATGGCTGCAACCTTGTTAGTCTGAAAACCTAACAAGCAAGACAAAACCCACTCTTGTGGTTAACAGGTGCACAACTCCATGGCTACACAAATCTCTGTTGAAATTCTGCTCTCTAGATGGATGAGTTGTAGGAGCTCGGACTCACAGCTCAGTAAAGATGTTACAAGGGGACACAAGCACCGTGAGAAAGACCTTTCCTCTTTCTAACAAGGTTTTTCCTGCCTGTTCAATGGGAATGTAATGAAATGGTGGAGTTCTATTTATCTACAAATGCAGTTTTCCTAAATCTATTCTTTAGAGTTTCTGCCAGCTGTGAGGGATGCCCAAGAAGAAAGGATTTTGAATCACCAATATTTAAATCTGTGGAAATAAGTAAATAAATAGTTATTTTGTGGAAACAAAGCAGAGAGAGAGGAAGGGAGAGAGAAACAGTCAGAGCCTGCAGGGGAGTCAGCCACCATCACTTGCATTGGCAGAGGCTCAAAGGCAAGCAGGGAAATGGGAGAGTTTTAGGTTACAAAAAAGATAAGGCTTTCGATATTCATGGGCTTCAGGACATGCTGGCACAAAACACGGCACCTTGGTGTTTGAGGAAACAGTTTGAAGCAAGGTCACTGTGGTCACCTTTCCTTTGCTCTTCTCCCTAAGCAGATCATAGGATCCGCATTCAAGTGTTAGCTTTCCCACACCCAGAGGAAAGGAACCCCTTATCTTTGAATACACAGGTGCACAGAGAAGAACTGGAACCAACGGGCCACAGTTGCTGCAGGTGGGTCAGACCTGCTTTGTCCAATCGTTCCTCTCCATATTTACCCACCTCTTTGTCAGTTAAGCATTAAAAAAATGCATGTGTACCTGCTTCTGTGGATCTTCATTTCCTTATGAAGACTCCTGTGTCACAAGAAACTTACACTAAATCAATTTGTATACTTTTCTCTTGTTAATCTGTCTTCTGTTGTAAGTAAATAGCTAGTCGTGAGCCTGGCTATTTGTTTCTCCCCACAGTATGCTCTGTTTGGAAGTGCTTGGCATGAGGAAAGTGGAAACTGGCTATGTAGAAGTGTGGCATCTAAGGAGCTGTTCTCTGGGGAGCATGCTTGGCTTTTTCTGATTGATCCCAAATTAGAAGAGGATGGAATATACAGTAAGGAAAGTGGCAGTCATTGGCCAGTTCTGATTGTTCTGGGTCAATTGCTGCAGAAACTAAGGTTTAGCTTCTGGAGTAATATCAGTGGAGGTTGTGGGTCAAAGTTCTGTTGGCATGTTTGGTCTGGCTACTGTCCACTTAAATATTCAGCCTTCCAAAACAGATCACATATGTGGCTAAGGACTCTTACTAGAAGGGGATGAAATGTCTTACCTAAATTCTTTTCTAATAGCATTCTGTAGTTTCCAAGAATAATGATAAGACTAAGAACGACTTTGGAGTCTGGCACTGTGGTGTAGCGGGTAAAGCCATTGACTGAGTGCCAGCACCTCATGCGGGTGCCAGTTCAAGTTCTGGCTGCGCTGCTTCTGATCCAGCTCTCTGCTATGGCCTGGGAAAGCAGTAGAAGATGGTCCAAGTCCTTAGGTCCCTGTACCTGCATGGGAGACCCGGAGGAAGCTCCTAGCTCCTGGCTTCGGAATTGGTCAGGTTGACCATTGCAACCATTTGGGGAGTGAACCAATGAATGGAAGACCTCTCTCTCTCTCTCTCTCTCTCTCTCTCACTGTCTGTAACTCTACCTGTCAAATAAATAAATAAATAAAATCTTTAAAAAATCATCATCTAAAGTAGAATTAAATTTTTTAAAAATGAGTAGTACATGCAAAGAAAGAATGCCCGAGAGGGACAAACTTTTTCCTATGGATTCAAATTGTTTCAGGTGGCCCTGATTCTGCCTTCTTCCTTCTACTCTCCTGTACTGTATGACTGATGGCCACAGAAACCTCCAGAAGCCATGATAGGAAATGGACCTAATAATCTTTAAGGACGTGACAGTGCAATTCTGGAGTAGGGTTTGCTGGCTCCTGCTCAAAAGAGCCCCTGTAGACATTCGATGCTGGAAAACTGCTGTAGGAGCCTGGCATCAGCAGAATGTGAGATTCTGCTAAAACCTATGAGTTCATTGCCTGACTGGATATTCACAGAGAAAAAAAGTACAATGGAAAGAATGCAGTCAGAATAATGAGCGATGACTCCTGGTTCTCCATTGAGGAGAAAACTTGGAATATCGTGCCATGAACATTCAACACACAACAAGGAGAGGCATTTGAGAAGTCACCCGGTGCAGAGCCTCTGTTAAAGAAATGAATAAATGTGGAAGGCGTTCAGCCATTTTCTGAATCTCGGCATGCTGAAGGGAACCCCTCCTGGAGTAAAGTCCTATGGCTGCAGCAGGTGGGAAAGCTGTGTGCGTCCCGTAGCCCTTCAGAATCCCGCCAGACCGCACCTGGATACCACCTCTGTGAGCGTGAGGATCCCTGGATACCACCTCTGTGAGCGTGAGGATCGTGCACGAGTCACGTGTTCCCTCCTATTTAAGCACTTCTGTGAGTAGTTCCCTAGAGAGAGAAATGCTGTCCACAGAAGACATGTGGGGAAGTCTTCTGTTGTCTCCCATCCTTTGGGGCACGTCAGAGGTCACAATGGAACAGTTCAATGTGTATGTAAATGAGGAATGTGAAGAAGCCTTTAGTCATGCTCACAGGAGGCTGGGAGACTCAAATATGCCCCCCAAGGACCCCTCACTTGCTGCTGTTTACACAGTTGGGTAACTCCCTCCCTGGAGTTGGGTTGGCTTAATGACTTTTTTTTTTTTTTTGACAAGCAGAGTGGAGAGTGAGAGAGAGAGAGAGAGACAGAGAGAAAGATCTTCCTTTTACCCTTGGTTCACCCCCCAGTGGTCGCTGCGGCCCGTGTGCTGTGGCCGGCGCACCGCGCTGATCCGAAGCCAGGAGCCAGGTGCTTCTCCTGGTCTCCCATGCGGGTGCAGGGCCCAAGGACTTGGGCCATCCTCCACTGCCTTCCCGGGCCACAGCAGAGAGCTGGACTGGAAGAGGAGCAGCTGGGACTAGAACGAGTACCCCGACCGGGACTAGAACCCAGTGTGCCGGCGCCGCAATGGAGGATTAGCCTATTGAGCCGCGGCACCGGCATGACTTTCTTCTATACAGTGGAATCTGCCAAAGGTGAGAGGCATTTCCATGATTTGGCTCTATACACTGTGACTTCTGCCTTGCCTTGCCTCTCTCTCTCCTTTGCGTACTGTAATGAAACAAACTTGTGTGTTGAAGAGGCTCATTTAGCAAGGAACTGAGGGCTACCTCCAGACAACAGCTATCAAGGAACTAAGGTCTTCAGCCCAGCAGCCTGCAAGGAACTGAATCCTGCCCAGAACCACGGAAGTTTGTAAGCAGATCTTCGTCAGTTGAACCTGCAGGTGAACCCCCAGCCCTATATATCTTGATTGCAGCCCCGGAGAGACTGTGAATGATCATGTAGGTCATGCACAGACTCCTGACCCACCCAAACTGTGAGACAATCAAAGTGTGTTGATTTAAGTCGATAGGTTTGTGATCATTTGTTATGTGACAATAGGTAATTTGCACATAAGCCCTCACTCAACATTTAAGGTCAAGGTAGAAAGAAGCTTTATGAATATAAAAACTGTGGGCAAGTCTTTAATGAACTTTCAAAATTGACTCTACATCAGAGAACCTACACTGGAGACAAACTTCAAAATGTAAGGAACATGGCAAAGATTTTGTTTGGCCCATACTCTTGCAGATATGTGCAAATCACATTGGAGAAGACATGTGTGGGGAAGTCCCCCCCACTTGCTTCTATCTTACTATGCATGTGAAAAGCACACTGTAATGAACCTTATGAGTCTAGGGGATTTGAATTCATTACAATCCTTTCTCAAATCTTTGGCAACACGTAAGATTGCATGCTGTGGAAACACCCTATAAATGTGAAAAATCTGGGAAAGTTTTGTTCCTTATCCCTAGGGCACAGATGTGAACTCCACCACAGAAAAAGTCTTCATGCACCACATTTTAGTTTTTGTGTGCAAGAAAATACTATGAAAGAAGTATTATGAAAGAAAATCCTTTAAAATGTGCATGTCCTATAGCTCATCCTTAAAAAAATGGATCCCTAGCTCTTCAATGTACACTTTTAATATTCTGATATGAAGATTTCAGTGACAAATATACTTTTAAGAACCTTTATAGCTGTAGCATATAAGGCTTGATATGCAATGTTTCAAGTATATTGTAGTGAAATAGAGATTGTTTGATTCCTATTGGACAGTCCTTTGGACCCATGGGTGACTTCAAATGCATTTTTTCTTATCTCATTTTTATTTATAGTTATGAAATAAATATTTATTGTAGAAAATCAATTTTTCATATTGAAATACAAAGTTCAATTCATTTGACACCCCTCATTGTTAATATTTTAGGTTATTTATTTTCATCTTTTTTTTTTTTTTTTTTTTTGCCAAACAGGTTTTGAACAGGGGTTGGGGGGAGACTGTAGGGAGAGTTCATTGAAAGGGAGAGAAAGTCTTCCTTTATGAGTAAAATAAATTATTCCTAGTAGACGATGGTAGTAAATGGTAATAGAGGCCAGAGTCTGAATATGTACAATGAGACACACGGACTACGCTCCTAGAATACTAAAAAAACATCACAGGCTTTTAGCTATGTTTCACCTTGTGAAAGCAGTTTTGAGTATTTTTTACTTATTTTAAGGGCCAGGATGGAAATATCGTATCATTTTTCTTTCCTGTCATTGTGGTTCCTGCATCTGGATAAACAGCTTACCCTTGCTTAGCCCTTCAGAAGTTGGAGTTTGGTCACGGAAAGGGATGCCCCACTGCTGAGGGGGGCAAGTATCTGTTAGCCAGGTGAGAGACCCATTTGGGATGCAGAGTCCTCTCTGTGCGTTAGAGTTTAAAGTAGATTGTTTGCCTTTCCAATTATAATAATGACAGAAAAATGCTAGTCTGTTGGCAGTTACTATAGTAACCAGGAGCAACTTAACTTCTTTTAAATGGGAAATGGACACTTAACTCCGTTTTCCTTCGTTTTCTGAGACTAAGCTGCATTTGCTTCATAGAAACTCCACTTCCAAATGGTTACTATAAATTGTGTATCTGTATGTATGATTTGTGCATGCGCACGTATGCATAAATATTAATACAAATCCATAAGAGACACTGTTCATAGCTCATTTTTGAATTAAATTACTTTCTGACAAAGACATGTGAAGTTAATTGAAAGGCAAACAATATTCAAGAGATATATTTAACACATGGCTTCTCTTTATTATGATTTTTTTTTAAGCTTACAGGAAATGGTTCCTTCCTTTCAAGGAGCAAAGAATACTTGATAGTTCTGTCTCATGCAAATACATTTCTCTCTCGGAGAAAAAGAATGAGCTGTCATTAATGCGATGAGTGCCAATATTGACATTATTTTGGCCAACCTCAACCAGAGCATGGAGGATGAAGGTGGGGGGAAGAACTCGAATTTTTAAAAATCAGGAACAAAATAAACATCGATAAACAACCTGAAATGTGAGATAAAGCTGATAGCTAAGTATGTCCAACCTGCATCTGTAGATGAACAGGTCGGGTTCAGTAGAATAATTTCATTCTTGGAAAATGCACTTTGAAATAGACAGCTTTATAATGTAGAATGATTGAAAGACTTTGAAATTCCAGGCAAAGTCATAAAAATATTCCTGCTTTTAAAAAAAATATATTCCTGCTCAAATCTATCATGGCATTTTAAAGAGTGCTGACTCCATAAATTCTGACTTTTATCAACAGCACTTCAATAATGTTCAGAAAATAAACTTCACAGGAAAACCTCGGGTGTTCAATTAGTGTTAAACGTTTTAGGGCAGAAACTGAGATAATGAAATTATGAGGACAACGGCAGCTTAACGTTATGTGGCTCACAAGAGATTTATGTATTCCAATATAACCTCAAGCTACGCATATGGCATAATAAAAAAGAATGGATTCCTGACGGGGGAACACAGGGCAGGGAATTTGACTGTGCTTGTCTTAATACTAGTTCTTTGTCTTAATGGAAAGACTGAAAAAACCCTGCCCCTAACTTAGTCTTTGTACAAATTCAGGCTTTACTTCTCCCCAAACCCCCACCAGTATTGCTCAAATGACATTTAACGGAATGTAACTTCTTTCACTAGAATCGTTTCCTCCTCAGTGCAAATCGCATTAGGATCACAGGGGTCCTATGGGAATGGTCTTTAAAAAAAAAGTCAATGGAGAAATTCCTGGTCTTGGTACTAAACAAGAGAGGGCAGTCACCCTTGAATACGTTTTCCAGAATTCCAGTGGGAGGTAAAAGTGGAATTCATGGTAGCACATTTCTGTGCCAAAGCAGTTGTCCTCCACCCTTCCTGCTAGCCCTGATGTGAATACAGTCATTTGTGGGTGGGAGGGTCCATCTTGGAGTGCCCCTGTGGCTCATTCAGGATTTTTCCGGAGGCTCAGTGCATTGGAGGACTGTTAGGACAATTGGAAAGTCCTGTGAAACACTCCCAGGTCTGCCTCTCAGGTCATTCTCCAGCAGTCTGCAGAGTTCAAGGTTTGAACACAAGAGACTGTCAGTGGGCTTTTTCCTAGTGGGCTTCTGAAACAATTTAACAGACTCTAACAAGATAATTTGGTAATGCAAGGTAGCTTTTTTTATTCTTCCAAGGTAAGGGGTTGTGTTGATAAGATCGAATGTCTCTTTGGTTTCCAAGGATTTCTTATGTCAGTGAACTTGCGGAGGTTTATACTTCTCTTAAATAACTGTTACTATGCCAGGTGAAGCGCATAGTTATATATTAAAATGTATAATCCATGATCCAAGTGCAAGCTCTTACAAGGTAGAGAAACTGAAATGTATTAGACGCGTTCTCTGAAATTCAACATAGAATGTAGTGTCAGGTGATTTGGAGTCATAGAGACACGGATCTATATTTGGTCCCACCACTTGACCTTGGGAATGTTATTCAACTTCTCTGAGCCTCACTCAGTGAGGATAACGGCTACTTCAAATGACTGTTGTGAGGGTTAAATAATGTTGTGTGTATAAAGTGCTTAGCACACAGGGCCAGCGCCGTGGCTCACTTGGTTAACCTCCGCCTGTGGCGCCGGCATCCCATGTGGGCGCCGGGTTCTAGTCCCGGTTGCTCCTTTTCCAGTCCAGCTCTCTGCTGTGGCCCGGGAGGGCAGTGGAGGATGGCCCAAATGCTTGGGTGCCTGCACCCACATGAGAGACCAGAAAGAAGCACCTGGCTCCTGGCTTCGGATTGGTGCAGCACTGGCCTTAGCGGCCATTTGGGGAGTGAACCAATGGAAGGAAGACCTTTCTCTCTGTCTCTCTCTCTCACTGTCTAACTTTATCTGTTAAATAAATTAAAAAATAAATAAATAAAGTGCCTAGCACAGTGCCTGGCTGATAGTAAAAGCTCAATAAATGGCATCTTATTTTGTGAAACACAGTTGAAATGTTAATACCAC